TGTGTGTGTGTGTGTGTAGCTGCAGTGATGTGTGCTGCCTATTGTTGTACTGTGTGGTTAAGATGAAGTAAATCTTGTTTTATAACTTTAATGAGCACGTTTCTGAGAGTGAGAATTAAAAATGAGCGTAAGCAGAAACTAAAACAGAAAAAGTGAGAAGATAACAGTAATGATGAGTGATGAAGAGCCTTCAGTTTAATTGTTTGGCTTATCTCGTCACTCTTTTTAGACCTTGATTAATGTTTTCTTGTTGAAAATAACAGTATCGAGTGGAAAGTCCTCATCATTCAGGGAGCATTCTATTGTTTTCTTCCTTTTCTCTTTATACTTTTGGTAAACTGGATTTTCTTTTGTGAAAGGGGCATTGAAAAACAAAGACCTAAAATGATTGTTAGATTTCCAGGGTCAAAAAACAATTAACAATTATTTAGTTTTTTTTCTTTAAACCACGAAAACAATAAAGTAATTGGAAACCAGAAATCAACTGCAGACTTGTTTTCTCATATTTGGACACATCATTAATGCAGGACCACAGACTAGTGTGAGTACATCTCGGTCCAGAACCTGGAAGTTGAAGCTGGTATGACTGCTCCCTCAAACAGGGACTGACTGTTGACTGTTAAAAAATTAAAACACCACTCAGATTCTGCTTTTCAGGTGTTGAAAGCTGATTTACATGTAGCCACAACTTCTCAAAATAATTGCCTATGTCATTTAATTTTATTTTACTTTTTTCCAATTTGTCAGGAATCTCAAAAAAAGTCTTATGGTACACTGTGTTAAAGGGGCACTATTATGTGTTTCTCAGCCATATATTTAAATACTCTACCATAATAAAGTATCTATGTCACCTTTAGTTGTTATTAAAATGTTGTTTTTATGTTTAAATAGAAAATAAACTTATCTTGTCATCACTTCCTCTTCTAAACACCTTGAAATTGGCCTCTGTCTCTTTAAGAACCACCTTCCGCTTTTGTCCCACCCATTTCAGCGCGGGGTGTTCGCGCTTGCGCTATGATGCAGTTTACTTGGCATCAGAAAATGCATTTTCTCAAAGGTATTTTGACTCTGAAAAGAGCTTCACTGAGTGAGAAGTAGTGTTAGGAGCTCAGCAGACAGCTTCAGTTTCACTTTCAGTTTCACCCGTTGTTTGCTTTGTTCCTACCGAGAGCCTGCAGGAGTCACGGGCGGGGTGTGGGGGGGTGGGGGCTCTGCCATGAGGAAGCTTCGGCTTAAAGACACGACCCAGAGGCTTTTCTGGTCCCCACCTGTCGTTTTGCTCCTCAGCATGGCTTCCTAAAAACGCTGCAGGATTTCTCAAAAATGCATGAATGAGTCAAAGCAAGGCTTTGGGCATGTTTTTTTATGAGAGTATAACATTATAACGTGAAAACTCAAAAAAGTTGATTTTACATGATATTGCCCCTTTAAATAAAAAATGACGACTATTTTTTAAAAATGTTACTTCCTGGTCAAAAAAAAAAATAAAATTAAATAAAAAATCAATTCCCAAAACGTACACAGACCTGAAGAAGTGTTGCTGCAAAGCTTCGTATAGCTTCTCGAAGCTTTTCATCACCACAACCGCTTCCTGTGTCTCTTCTGTGAAAAGGCTTTTAGTGCAGGAGGCTACATTACAGCGTGGGGCTCGCTCTGAGTGTCAGACAGACCTTTCTGCGCTGTCACCTGTTAGAGCAGCTTGAACTGGACTCACTGAGACTCCAGACATGGTGGAGGAGAGGATGGGAGACTGTTGGAGCCACACCAAGGTTGTTTCTCATTTTCTGCTTCATCTTTAAGATTGTATCAGCTCTGTTGTAAGGAGATCTCTCTCCTGAAGCAACCATGAAATCTTCTGCACATTTCAGCTACGACGTGTGTGTGTGTGTGTGTGTGCCCGCCCTTGTTTTTGCTACTTGGTGGGGACAATTTTTCAGAAAAATGCAGCCACGTGGGAACTGGATGCTCCTTGGGGGGACCAAAGCCCAGTCCTCACGACTTCGGAGGCTGATTTTGAGTGATGGGATAGGTTTAGGACCAAGGTGTGAGTTGAGTTTAGGTTAGTTTTAGGGTCAGGTGGGTACCTGTGAGGTTAATTTTAGGGTAAATGGTCAGGGTTAGACTATAAAATTTCCAAAAAATGAGTGGAAGTCAATGGAAAGTCCCCGCAAGGATGGAGAGACGTAGTAGGTGTGTGTGTGTGTGTTGAACCTCCTGATGAAACGTTTGTTCTCTTCTGAATCGATGAATGTCCTAACATGACCTCAGCCAAGTCCAGGCTCATACTGTGTTTTCCTCAGAAGTGGAAGGTGAGGCATGAATGATGAGTTGAGTGTGAACAGCTGGGTTTGGTTATCAGACAGTTTTTACTCTGTAACATACAAAGCCTTAAAATCCCTCTCAGATAGAAAAGAAAACTTGAGTATTCTATCTGTCTGCATGAAGCAGAACCTTTAGGACTGAGAATGAACATCTTGAACCCAAATGAATCTAAAGGTTCATCAGTGGTTGATCCACTGATTACTTTCAAGGAGATTCACGAGGTGTTTTGCAAACTTTTGTTTTGTTCTAATCTGTTAGAACTCAGGGTTTGTGTTGAAGCTGATTCTCAGCTACTACCACATCAAATGTTAGCTTGTTATTTGTAACACTAATTACTTTGTGTTTACAAAATTTAATTAGCTGTGGTAACTATCTGAAATTAAGGTGACCTCCAAAAAGTATTTGATTGTACTGTAGATATGTATTATTTGTGAGGATTAAGTCAAATTTGGTCAAAATGACCTAATTATATTTTCTGATTCCTTACTTTCAAAGCAATATTTTGACACTTAGATCATCCTGATATCATTTGTAGATCCAGAGATATTATTTAATTTGTCTTGTTGGTTACAATAATACTTAAATATTTGGTCTTAATCCTAATTTTATGTAATTTTAATGAGGATTTTAATGTCATTTTAAAAAAGAAACCCCAAATAGCATTTGAATATTCAGATTTATCAGCTGGAAAGAAACAAAAGCTTCGATAGCTTATGGGGAAAATCTCAAATTTTTCCTCAAAATCTGGTTTTTGGTTGCTAATCCTCAAAAAAGTGCTTCAAAACATTTTTTGGAAAAAGATTTCAGACAGTTCATTAAAATGATACATTGATAACACATTTATTTGTTATATTTTGACAAAATGTCATTTTTGCAAGTGTTTTAATCAAAACATTATATCTGCCTATTTCTCCACATCTTTTAGACTTAATCCTCGTTTCGATGTGATGGGTCACATTCATTGTTATATTTGGTGTTTCATTCTAATCTGTCCTCTGGTTCATATATACAGTAACCTGGTAAAAACCATCCCCTTGTTCTACGCTTTGCTTCTTACAGAGGGTCTGGTTCAGTGGTTATCGAGAAGTGATTCTTTGCTGGAGTTGTGGACTCTGTTGAAGTTTAAAACAGTTGGATCTGATTTGACCCAATCGCTAACGTTTGACTGTGACGTAGTACGCCAGCTTGACCGTGAAGGAAGCTAAAGCTAAGATGTTAACTGGAAATTGCGTGTGCTGTAAACAACTATCCCCTACTGAGAAGAGAGAAGTGCTGAAGAAATTTGTAGTTATTAGAGCAGGGCTATTCAACTAAATTGATCAGGGGGCCACAGTTACGGCAGGTCAACAGCTGAGGGGCCGAACATCCATCAATTAAAGTTAAGTAAATAAACCAAGTATTACAAAGATCTGCTATCTTTGAAATAGTTTATTTTGCTGCATTTAATCATGATTAGAACAAACAGAACCCTATAAAAGTAGTCATAATTCAACAATATCAAAAACAAAAGGAACACATTATGCCTCCTATTTGACACAAATATTATTTTGACATCTCTGACTTGCCAAATTTTTAAACCAATTTTATTTTCCCTTTCATAGTTCTATCTTCAACTGCTTGTAGTTTTAACTGTCTTGATTGTGCATAGGAATGGTTTATACCAGCTTGTAGCCAAGGT